CCTATGAGGACCTTCTCACACTTCCAGCTACACCAATAAAAGGTGTTTCCTGACTTTGATTGAACACCATACTTGGATGACGTGAATCTATATTTTAATAAGCAAATCGGAAATTGCTGTCAACTTCCAAAATTTGTACAATTTTGTTTTGACTTAGTTCAAAACTCTCATTCAGGTCATTTAGACTAATAATAGTCCTAAATTCTTTAACTTTATTTTGAGTGAATTCTTGATAAGGGTATTCTCTACCATAGCTCATGTACAGATACTCCCCAACAAAACGGGATAGCCGAGAGGAAAATTCGTCATCTCCTCGACGTTATTTACTCCATTATGTTTCAATCTAATGTTCTGAAATATTTTTGGATTGATGTCATTCTCACTACCATATATCTCATAAATAGAGTCCCCTTTAAAATTTAGAAGTGAACCCTCTTAGCCGTCTTGATGTCATGCTTCCCCACCAATCGGATCTTCTTCACATTAGACCCATAGATTTTTGGGTGCACTGCTTTGTTCGGAACACTGTCCCCAATCAGAGTAAACTTCATCCCAGATTCATAAAATGTATCTTCCTTGGGTACTCCATTACTTAAAAGGGGTATCGATGCCTTGATTATACCACTAACAAAATATATGTGAGTGCTGATGTCTTCTTTTTTGAAGTATTCCCTATTTTCCTAACTAGGCCCCAAGTGAGGGGGATCTTGGGTTCTTAGACACTACCCCTTATCCTACTTCTATGGATATTCTCTCAATTGTTCCCGCTATCGATGAATCCCTTGTCCTGGTGAGTGCACCATCCGGTGAGTTCTCGGATTTGTTGAGTGCACCATCTCTCCCTCCCACTATCCGCTTCTACACTTGGCGCATCCGTTTCAATGCTCTTACTCTAGAATCCACTACCTCATGGGACCTTGACTCCACTAAGGGCGACATTCTCAGTGCGACCCCTTCTTCGAATGTGGAGGTGAGTTCTTGTAAAATATGAAATCGGACATGCTCCCTCTATTCTATGATAAAATATGTCTCTTTGCGCAGTTTATCGCCGACCTACAGAGCATTTGCCTCTACCCTGACGGACCATCAGATCCCTGTTACTATTGAGGTTGCTCTTGCTGATCTTGCCTGGAAAACGACAGTAATTGAGAAGATGAATGCCCTGTAGCGGAACCATACATGAGATGTCGTTGATCTTCCTCAAATTAAAAAGCTGTGGAGTGACGATAAATTTTTAGCATCAAGTTCAATTTTGATGGATTCTTTGAACGCAACAAGACCCAATTGGTTGCCAAAGGGTACTCTTAGACCTAAGTATTTGACTATAGGAGACATTTACTTTAGTGGCTACGTTAAACACTATTCGAGTCCTGTTGTCTCCTGTAGTGAATCTTGATTGGCCTTTATTCCAGCTGGATGTCAAAAATATATTATTGAATAGAAAGCTTACGAAAGAGTTATACATGTCTTTTCCTTTGGACTTTGACTCTACTGTCTCCAAAGGGCAAATATGCAGGCTGCGAAAGTCTCTCTATGGGCTAAAGCAGTCCTCCAAGGTCTGGTTTGATAAGTTCACAAAGGTGATTGTGCGCTATGGTTTTACTTAAATTCAATCCGATCACACTCTATTTCTAGCATTCCTTCAATGGCCAAGTATCTTTCTTATTGTCTATGTTGACAATATTTCTCTTACAGGTAATAATCTCTCAGTCCCTAAAGTCTTTAAAAGACATTCTTGCTAAATCCTTTGAAATGAATGATTTGGGAGCTCTAGTACTTTATAGGCATAGAAGTAGCTCGATCATCTCAGACATTTGCCTTTCTCAACGTAAATATGTGCTTGTCCTCTTGAAAGAAAATAATATTCTTTTGTGCAAATCAGTGGCTGTCCCTATGTATCCCAATGAAAAATTATTTGACATTCTTAATATTGTGCCTGTCAACAAGGCTCACTACTAACGCCTTGCGGGGAAACTCATCAACCTCGCCAATACTCGCCCTGATATATACCATGCTATCAGTATGGTGAGTCAATTAATGTATGACCTCTATGAGCACCATCTCCAAACTGTCCAACGGATTCTCTACTATTTAAAAAGTACACCAAGCTCATTTTTGTTTTTCTTTCGTCACACCTCGCAGTTATACAGATGCTGATTGGGCCGGGTCGATTCATGAATGACGCTCCATCTTGAAATATTGCTCATTTGTATGAGGAAATCTGGTCACATTGAAAAGCAAAAAAATAGTCTATGGTTGCTCGGAGCAGTGTTAAAGCTTTGGGGGCTCTATGAAACCTTTTGGTTACACATCATACTCCATGAACTTCGTATGTCAACCTCTATCCCACTGCAACTATTCTATGATAATAAAACTGCCATCAACATTCCACAAAATCCAGTCCAGCATGATCGTACCAAGCATATGGAGATTGATGGACAATTTATTAAAAAAAAGATCGAGCTCGGTGAAATTTCTGTCTTTTCTACCCTCCACTAGTCAACTAGCGGATATCCTCACCAAGAGTCTTCCTTGACATTTTTTCAATGACTTCAAATTCAAGTTGAACGTGATTGACATCTATGCTTCAACCTGAGGGGAGTATTATATTTATAACAACAATCAAATCTCTAGCCATTATTACTTATTATTTATTGCCTATTAGCTTCAAATTCCCTCATTATGTATTTCATTTTTTGATTTACTCTATTTTTATTCCTTTACTATTTATTTTATTCTGTTTTGTTTCTTTTCTTTGTTGTGCCTATTATAATTGAGTTTAAGTACCCTTTTTTCTATTAATAAAAGTGGGCTGCTTTATTCCAAATCTAAACAAATATGAAAGTGTAAAAGGAAGAAATTCTATAGCATAGGGATGTATTTTTGCAAACCTGAATCTGAATCGATGAGCTAAACTGCTCTGAATCCTAACCTGAATCCACAACTTCAACACCAATCCGAGTGGTTCAAGTGAGATTTAAAACCGCCGCAGTCAAGCCAAAAAAAACAAAATGAAATGAAATAAAATTTGGAAGATTTACATACATACAATGCAGTTCTTATATATTTACGTATCAACAACTAAACTTTAATTTTTATATACATACCAGCTTACCTATGCATGAAAAGGTGTATTTTACTTTTTAAAAGTAAAATAGTGGTATTTTTGGTGTGATATGAATGATTTGGGTGGCGTAAATATAGAAAGCAAAGTTTAGGTGATAGATATGCACATATTTAAGAATTGGGTGGTATGTATGTAAGTGTTCCACAAATTTTATATTTATATTATTATTGATTTGATCTTCATTTTTTCTGAAAATTTTGAATCAAAGACTGATCGAATAACCAAAACCAAATATTTTGATTTTTCAAATCTGTATCCAAACCATTAATTTAAAGACTGAACCGAATAACCTAAAAATATTTTTCATTTATAACTAGATAATGCACATCCCTATTTATCCCAACTGATGAGGTTTTCTTACAGAATTCTTATTCTTTTTTTCTTTTGAGTTGATATTGTTTGAGGTGTTAAACTTATTTTTTGCAATCATTTACTCAACTTCTATTTCTATTACCTTTTGTTTATCGTTTTTATCTTCTAATTTTTTAATATTAATTTTGTTTACTCATCTTACGAGTGCTTTTTTACACTTCATTGTGCATGTCTAAATCATTGAAGTCTAGACTTTCTATCTCATATTTAATTGATACTACTTTAATCATCTCTTTAATATAATCATCCATTAGCTTATCTTTCTAAAGTTTGCCATATCCATTTTTTCCTTCTTATTACTTAGCTTATTTTGGGACTTTTTAACCACCCAATATCCATATGATAAAACTCACTGCATTGTAGCTCTATAAATTTTGTTTCTGACTCGACACTTTTTTTTTACATAATACCCTGTACGAACTTCCCACCATTTCGTTGCTCCAGAAACCATGTCCACATGTGTAATTTCAAAATATTTATATCGCACCTAGGTAAAATTTAAACTACAACTAATATTTACTGATATTATAACAATCTCTAAAATAACCTGAACGCAATTTTTATTCCATAAATACCAAGTTATTTATCATCTAAAAAATTGATTTTGCTAGATGCCTCGCCGGCTAGAATTATGTCGTTTATAAAGAGCATCATCAAGCTATCTGAATTTAATTATTATTTGTAAGTATTTCATAACTAGTATGAATGAATATTTGATTTAATGTGTATCCTTTTAGAATTCTACTACAATTTGAAACTCTTTGATTGCTTCATATCTTACTTATAATGTTGGACGTATTTCATCCTTATAATTTGTGATCAATCATTTCTCATTGTACTTAACTGCATGCTCAATATAAAAATGAAAAAAGAAATCATATTGGATTTGTCTTCCACTCTATTCTTTTTCATTAACAATTTAACACATTATTTTCATAATAGATCATTCTGACAGGAGCTAAATTGAATCTTTGGTACTAATGCAATTTTTCGTGTCAATGTTCTATTGCTCTTTCATATAACTTTAATTTCTTGCCTCCAATTTTGATTTCTTTATGATTATCGCACATTTTAGGATATTTTTTGTTCTCGAATGTAACTAAAATTTTTCCTTTTCAGCATTCTTTTACATTTTAGCATTTTATTAGAAGATTTACACTGAAATCACTGAAATATTATCCATAAATCCAGCAGGTTAAGTGTACCTAAAAATATCTGCAGTTGTGGATCTTCTTAGCATTAACTTTTTAATGGACATCTAAAAGCTGTTGATTATTTACAGACTAGAAAGTTTTAAGTGAACTTAAATAAAAGGACATTTTACTAGACTGATGATAGCCTAATTTTGCGTTGTTTAGTATTTAATCTTAAATAGTGTTTTTTTCTGGTGTATTAGAAAAACTTTTATGATGTTTTGCGTCAAGTCATTGCTTCTCTATATTTACTGTATTGTTTAAATTGAAGCTCCATAACATCTCATGGATTTCATCATTTTTGACAGGCGACAACTATTAGTCCTGACATCAAGCTTGCCCAGCGTTATGGTGCTTCAGTGGAAGATGTAGAAAACACAGTTAAGAAGTATGCTGATATTATCTTACATTCTCTTGAAGGTATGGGTTCAAGATTGTCTCAGCTAGAGAGCAGAACATGCATTCTTGAAAATTCCGTAGATGATCTGAAGGTTTCAATTGGAAATAACTATGGAAGCTTGGATGGAAAGCTGAGACAGTTGGAAAATATTTTAAGAGAGGTGCATTGTCTTTCCTGGAACTTTTCACAAAATCATGTTTTCAATTTTAAGTACGGTTCATAGTATTAAAGCTAAACGTAAGCATGGACGGTTTCCTCTTTTTAGTCTTGAAATTATGGTCTCTTCTTATATTGTGTATTCTGGTGAAGTGTCCGTTGCATACTTTAATGTAGAATTCTTGTTTTGAATCTATGTTTTGGTTGGCCTTCTGCAAGTTAGTAGGGCTAAGCAAAAAATTTATTCAGTAATGATCATGTATGGGCTATTAACGAGGCATTTGGTTCTTAGGTATTAAACCATTTTCAAATGTGTAGCTTTTGGCTTTGAAGAATTGTAGTTACTTTTTCGATGACTGTTTCGTAATGATTTCTATCCATGGGCAGCAAAATTTAGTCTGCGTATATGCTAGCCTGTTGATAATTATGTCAGTTTTAGTGATATTTGATTTGATTTGATGGATGATAAGCTTGTAGAAATGAATAGTATGCTAACATTATGACATTGACTTTGCGGGTTCAGATATTGAAAATAGCCAACTCTACAACGTGCAATTAAAATTCTGTACGTTGAACTTTTCCCTAATCACAAGAGCTTCACATACTAGGTAAAACTTTTTAGAGTTTATAATTTCTGTAATGATCGATCAAAAGGATGAGGGGAAAATGATCAATGAATAGATTTTAAATTTACAAAGACAATGTAAGGAATAAGGTGACTTGAAACATTATGAACTGTTCTTTTTTACTGAAAAACGATATAAATATGCAGCATGCATGATGCAAACCATGTTTTTAGGAAATTATTCTTTGAAAAATTGTGGTTGGTGAGAGCAATTTGCTGACATACTATATAAAGTATCTTACATTCATTTAGGGTTGTTTGGGGTAGCTGCAGCTTATTAAAAAGCTACTGCGTTGTAGCTGCCCCAGAAAGTTATTGTGCAGAGGCTGCTGCGGATAAGCTGATTGGCTGATTGTTGATTATTGTTTGAAAATAGCTACAACACAGCTATTTCTTGACAAATGACTATTCTGCATCTGTGTAGTAATGTTGTTTGCAACATAACTGTTATGACAATATATTTGATACTTTAGAAGTAAAAATTCACTTCAGAACATCGCAAAAAATAAGATACACATATCACTTAGCAGTATCATCATTACTAAAATAAAGAAAAATACTATTAAAATAAAATTAATAATATAATAATATTATTTTTAAAATGGTGAGAGCGTATGACACGAGCTAGACCGCCCTCTATGGATACTATCCATTCCCGTTCACTCTCGGCGGTGGAATCTGTCATCCTGTCTCCCATCAGAATTAGTCATATTTGTCAGTGATTCTCTGCGAGCACCTTTAGAATCGCCTCTCATAGTTATGTGTCTGACTTGATGTGAGTAGGGAATTCTATAGTCCGTAGTGACATAGCACTCCTCGGGAGGTCTTTGAAATCTTTGACCTCATTTTTCCTGAATGCTTCAAAAAACATTCCATTAGTCATAGCATCAGTATAAATTGATAAAAAAGTAATTAATTACAATTTTGTGCAAATAAGAAGTCTTAGTATAGTAACCAACGAATTTGTCACTAAAAGAACGCAACATAACTTATAAAATAAGAGTTCTTTATTGTCTTTAACCCACATAATACCAAGTTCGGGTGTGCCACATATACATATCACTAAAAAATACCATTCGAAAAAGTCATATCGTTAAAAAAGAAGAGATGAACTTGGCTGCTTTCAATAAATTTCACATGTGACACTAGCCATTATCGACAATCAGGTCATACAGAAAAACTCATAAGGTTGAATGTCTCATCATGTGTCTCTCAAACTCACCAAAAGAAAACAAAAGAAAGGAAATAAGGACAAAAAAAACACTTATAAATGCAGAAAAAAGCCCGAACAATCATAATCAAATGTACATGGAACAAAAAATAAGCATGAACTGTATAAAATAAACATGAATAGTCCAATCAACATCCAACAATAGTGTCTGTAATCCGCTCTCTATTTAACAATTTCTGCAGCACCTTCGCCATCTTGGGTGCAACCTTTTTGTGATTCCACTTCTAACTATGGTATATATTGTCCTATGTGATGTAAATTCATTAGACAGAACGTGTAAATGATCATTGTTAGCCATGTTGAAATTTACATCAGTTCAAGAATGATGCCGTCAAATGTAGTTGTGGAGAGTCATTGTAGCAATTACAATCTGCAACTGCTTCGAAAATAGATACGTCGGCATATCACACAATATGACCCATTTTTTCTTCCACAATCCTAATGTTCTTTCAATTCCACTGAGTAAAGAGGAGTGTCTCCTCTTAAACTTTTCTTTCCGGCTCCTAGCAACACCATTGGATCTTTCAAAATTGAGAATATGATATTTCATATTTGGAAATGACTTCAGATATCCTATTTGTAAGGACCATTGGATCTTTCAAAATTGAGAATATGATATTTCATATTTGGAAATGACTTCAGATATCCTATTTGTAAGGGATATCCAATTTCGACCAAATAATATTTATCTATTCCGAATACATTAATTAATAATGAATTTCAATAATATCGGAATATGCTTAATAGTTGAACAAATATGGAGTTGGGCGAGGGAAGTTGTGCTTTTGATTTCTTATCGCAAAAATGAATATACTACCATGTGCACTGTCTTCCCAACCAGCTATAACAAAAGTTAAACACAAGTTAAAATCACATACGACCATAACATTTTGCTTAAGTGATTCACGCCACCCAATGAATGCGACCTTTTCATTATTGTATACACGTACATCCACGTGGGTTCCATCGATCTCTCCAATACAGTTTCAACAAATTAAATAAAATTGTGTTAATTACGCTAATTATTTTAACATATGAATATAATGAGTAAAAATTATTTACCTTAAAAAATGACATATCGTGAGTCATCTACAATCTTTTTTGGAGTCCTCTCGAATGTTGAGTCCTCTGGCTCAATAATTTATGTTGACAAACTAATAAGAGCCTTCAACCCCACTGAGAAATATCTGTTGATTGTCTCCGATGAATGCTGAAATCGTTCCATCGTTTCTCTCATTGATTCATTCTGTGATAAAATGTAGAGGGTTATTCCGAACATCTCTCAGGTTGTTATACTTGAGGAGCCGTGAAGTCCATGGTTCTTATGTAGTTCATCAAGCAGATCCAAATATAGGTTGTCATACGAAACATGTTGCTGAATCTTGTAGGGTGTCTTTGTTATAGCTTCCCAACCCATTTTTCATCAACGTAAGTAGATGTCATGCAGGGAGTTCGATTTGCATATGAGATGTTGTATTCGTATAACTGATAAACTGCTGTCACAATTTTCCTTTTGCGGCTCTCTCTTTATGAATCCATGCTAAAGAAGTGCTCTGTTCAGATATTACATGTCAATCAAACAATATTAAAAACATCAAAAATCCAATCACAAAGCGTACAATAAGAAGACATAAATACATAATAACATATAAATTGTCCTTGTGAGAAAGAAAAAATCATTCAAATCAGAAATCCGATAAAACTACAAGAAAATAAATCTAAGCAGTACAATAATAACTATATAAAATCAAGTATCCTTGTTGTAAAAAAAAATGCAAATAATTGACCCTGTGGTTAGGAGCTAACTTTATGAAGATTTGTCTACTGGTGGGATCCTCCAACAACTTCAAAGAGTTCAGATATAACATGTCCTCGTAAATTTTGGGAGTCACCTCCATAACTCGGATAAAGTCATCTATGGATGTCGCATATGAAGGTTCAGGTTCATTTGTGCATGAAGCTACCAGTTTTGATATTTAACTTCTGATGAAAGCAACTCATTTTTTCTTTTTTTCCACCTTAGGACGCTTTGACCTGCATGTGAACTCCAGTTCATTTTGGTTTGGGCTTCAGCCTTCACCAGGGCCAGTTACTTGCTCTTCATTCAAGTCCTTTTGGTAATGCCTGCAACCTCATGCCCACTTGGGGTTCAGGCATGAGACCCATTGCCACAACCACACCAAACATACGGTTCAATTTTTCTTCCTGCTCAAGGTCAATTCCACTGAATTTGAATTTCTTGGCGGCTGACACTGGTTGCAATATACGACAAGTTTATTACTTCAAACAGTTCAAGAGCATAAAGTAATGAAAATAAGGTCTTTTATGGATAAGTTGTTACCTCTAATTTCTCAGTTCTCCTTTCCTCCGAAGTATCAATAGTCCGTTTGATTGAATCTTAACTCAAGCCCATAGATATTTTTTTTTAATTTCTTCTATAATTTTCAGTCATTCTTCAACTGATCCCACTTGTTCTTAAGTTGCAACCTCTCGTACTCCCTTCCTGTCATTTCTTTGAATTTCTTCATGATATTTTGCCACTCTTTCTTGTTAAAATAAATGGTGGTCTTATTTCCCAGCTCAACTTTCTTAATACACATGTCGTAAAATATGAGTTTGGCTTTCCTATCCCACATGACTGATGAATCGACTTCTTTAGTCTTCACCATTGCGTTACTAATAAAAATTATTTTTTCAAGAGGTATCATTTGTATTATATCTTTTAGGTCATTCCATAATTTAATTTTAGAATCTGTATCTAAACCTACTTGAGGAGTATAAATAATTATAATATCAAAAATCTTAGTATAAACAATAATCTTAAGGGTTATAATTCTATCTTCAATTCTATTAATTTTTACAATATTATCTTTCAAACTTTTATGTATAATTACACGTACACAAATTTTAGTGTAACTCTTACCTGAAGCCAAAGTTTAAAACCTGTTATCAATCTCATTCGTGTTTTCTCTAACCCATTTAGTTTCTTGAATACATAAGATATTTATCTTTATATGAATCATAATGTCAACTTACTCCATTAATTTACCTGTGAGTACCTATATTTCAAGATCATATCCTAATATTAGTTTCATGGAGTAGTTTCTTTACTCGCATCCATACGTAATGTGAAAATACTTGCTTATTT